AGGGAGTTTCTCTGCGGATAGATGGGGAACAGATTAAGAATGTCATATAGCTGCTCCTTAAAAGTTTTCTCCACGGGGTTCCATAGAGTCCCAAGATCCCAGAGCTAAGGAGACTGTGTGACCCAGAGACCACCCGCATGACCCCATAACCCCACCTTCCCAACCACCCCCTGCTCTCCATCAGGTCTGAGCCATACTCACCAGGTTGTGCTGGGCCTGCAACTCGATCTCCAGGGCATTGACTGTGCGTCTCAGCTCGATGATCTCTGCCTGGCAGGACTGCAGCTGCTCTGAGCTGGACACCACCTGCTTGTTCAGCTCCTCAGTCTAAAAAATCCAGGGGGAAGAGACAGGATCAGATACTGCCTCAGGGACCCTGGGGGCTCTGGGGTCTGAGTGGCCACATGCTTAGATACCCACCTGCCTGGTGAACCATTCCTCCACTTCCGTGCGGTTGGTATCCACCAGGGCCTCATATTGACACCTGGTCTCATTTAGAACCCGGTTCAGGTCCACAGTGGGGGCAGCATCCACCTCCACATTGAGGCGGTCTCCAATCTGGCAACGCAGGGTGTTGACTTCCTGTGAATGCAAAAAACACAAGTGGAACTCTCTTCAACAAAGAATGGACTCAAAGAAAGGACACTGCTTGTCCATGCCCTGTCGATCCATTTTCTCAGAAGAGTACCTCTGAGTGGAATAATCTGCAACAGCTCAAAGCAAAATGGCCTGTACTCCATGTCACATGGCCCCATCCTCACCATGGCTGCACCATGGCACTTAGTTTTGAAAAGAATTCCCAAGGTTTCGCCTGGATGCCAGTGAAGGATGATCTAGTTGACATACAATTTTCCCAGTAAAGAGATTGGCTATGAGAAACTCATAATGCAAAATATTAGCTGTACAATTTCAGATTGTATATCAAACACTTCTTGCCATCAAGTAAGAGGTAAGAGCATGCTGTGGCCCCTCCTAGGACAGAGAATGAGCTCCAAACATTCTTCAGCAAGACTTTGAAAGAGTGCAAAAAAAAAGAAAAGAAAAGAAAGGGCAGTGCCTGTGGCTTAAAGGAGTAAGGCACCAGCCCCATATGCCAGAGGTGGCGAATTGAAACCCAGTTCCAGCCAAAAAACTGCAAAAAAAAAAGACTTTGAAAGAGTAGAGACCCACACTCATCTGCAGCTTTGCATTGTCATGTCACAGCAATGCTGGGACTCATTCTGCTACTTGCTGACAAGAAGATGGAGGTGCTCTGGGGAACTCAAAGAATGCACCAGTTTGGGGTAAAGATGTATCCTATCCTGGGAACGTAGATAAGTTTTCTCTCTTTCAATGTTTCTTTCATCATGATGTTTTGATGTTTTTAAGGAAAATGTATAAAGACATCCTCAGTCTATATCCATACTCTGGATTCTGCTGTTGCAAATCCCTAAATCCACCCTCAGCTAGAGGCTTCATCAGTTCTTTTCATTTCTCATTTCTTGTCTCACCTGCTCATGGTTGCTCTTGAGGCAGAGCAGCTCCTCCTTCAGAGACTCCACCTGGGCCTCCAGGTCAGACTTGCACAGGGTCAGCTCATCCAGGATTCTGCGCAGACCATTGATGTCTGACTCCACCAGCTGCCGCAGGGACAGTTCCGTCTCGTACCTGCACAAGGACAGGGTCAGAGAGTAACTGACAGACCTTCAAGACACACAGGAATTTTCGATAACCTCATGTGCTTATTTTCCCCACTTTCTGCAATGAGTAGATTC